GGTGGGGCCTGGGGCACTGTAGGCTGTTCTGCCGAGGCTCTGAGCACAGCCCACGGCAGGGGCCCCCTGAGCTGGGACCACAGGGTCAGGGCTTTGCCCCAGTGACCCCCTTTGCCCTGATCCTGGGGCACCGTCCAGGCCTAGAACAGAGACCTGAGATGAGCCTCAGGGGGAAAAATTCACTGACTCGAAGTTGCCCAAGTTGGGTCTGGCAGCTCCAAGACTTCAGCGCAGACGGGGCAGTCCAAGCAGCACCCGGGGCAGAAACCCCCGAAGAAGAGAACACAGGCATCCAGGCTTGCTGCCTGCGGCTCTAGGGTGCACGGAGTCCCCCTCACTACTGCTAGCGATGGAGCCAGAGGAGGCAAAATGGCAAGTGATGGAGGGCTCAAGGGTCCCAAGCCAGCTACCGAGGCCTCACTGTGGCGCCAGCCGCAGGGCAGGGAGAAGCCAGGCGGCAGCCCCCAGGCGGTACCTGCATGCGGGTCCAGATGTCACGCCAGGTGGGGGGTAGCACATTGTTGAAGCAGAACTGGTGGGAGACGTTGTTGTGGTGGGGGCGGCCTTCCTGCAGCGGGATCACGGCCCCTGGCGTGACTGCTGCCATAGGGAGAGGGAGGTTAGCAGGGACAGCAGACCCACAGGCCCCTGTGGAGCACTGGGCAGGCCCAGGTTTGCACTGAACCCCAGTAGCTTTTCCTCTCCTCCCCTGGCTGCAGCTCCAAGCACCCCCTGCGCAAGGGGAGCCCCCCCCGTTGCCCCCGCTCAGGTCCAGACCCAGACCCCAGCTAATCACCCTGCTGTAGGGAGCTGTGGAGGAGCAGGGAGCGCTAATCACCCAGGGCCACTAATGAGGGAGCCTCATGCTGCAGCAGCCTCATCCCTCGTTAGCCCTCTACCCCTCATCAGGCAGCATGACACCCCCCTCCCTGGGTGGGGAGGAGCACAGCTCCCCGGGGACCCCTGCAGTGCTGGAGCCGTGGTGCGTGGGTGTCTGAGCAGTGCTGCATGACCGTCGCCACAGCTCCCTGCTGTGGGGAGCCGGGGACTGGGGAGCGAGCCCCCTGTGAGGAGAAAAACAACTCCAGGGGGCCGTGGCGGCAAGAGGGCTCCGTGCTGTGAGTGCCGGTGTGCATGGAGGCTTGTCCCCAGCAGCCCTGGGTAGGCGGGGGAGGCTCCGCGGGGTCTCTGCTGCTTTGGGGATGAGGGCAGATGGAGAGCGGGCAGGCTTGAGGTCGGGATGCCAGGGAGCGCCCCCAGCCCGGACAGGTGGGTGGCCGGAGAGGATCCCTCCAGAGAGTCCTCCCCCCACCCAGCCCCGCTCTGTGGGGGCGCTCGAGAACTCGCAGGGGTCACAGGGCAGGCTACGCACAGTGCCCCCCGCCCGGCCCTGGCAGCGCTGGGGCTCCCAGACCACCCGGGATCTGCCCCCCAGTGCCCCCTGTATCCCCGCCCCCGCTTTGCTCCGACCCCCCCCTTACGTCCTCCACGTGCAACACCCGATGTTCCCCGGTCTCCATGGCAACCCAGCGCCCCCCGCCCCCGCAACACTCCGGTCTCCCGGGCAACACCGGTTTCCATAGCAATCCCGCCTCGGTTGCCACGTACCATGCCCCCTGGTCTCTACAGCAACCCCGGTGTCCATGGCAACCCCGGTACTTGCGCGGCCCAGCAGCGGCGGTAGCAGCAGCATTGCCACCAGGAGGCGCCACGCGGGGGCCGCGTTCGTCCCTCCCGCCATGGCGGCGCCGCGCGCCTTCCCCCACCGTCCCTGGCAACCGGGCGGCCCCACCCGCCGCTCCGCCAATAGCCGCGGAGGGCGGCGCTAACGTAAAGGAACCCGGAAGCGGCCGCGCTGACTGACAGCACTCCCAGCCAATCAGAGCGCAGTGGGGATCGACGGGGGGAGGAGGCAGGGTAACAGTTCTTCCCGCCGGCCGTTCGCGCTGACTGACGAGCCGGGCGGCCAATCACAGCCGCCCTCCGCCCCTTCCCCGCCGCCAGTGACTGACAGGTTCTCCGCGCTATGGGGGAAGCCGCCCGTTGCCACGGCACCCGCTGCGCCCGCCCTACCAGCCTAGCGGCGCGGGGACGGGACTGATGGACAGGCCGCTCCGCCTATCGACAGCGCTCCCTGCTCCATGGCAACGCTTGGGCCTCGCCCTGCGGGGGGGGTGGGATGTTATTGAAGGATCGCCTGTGTTGCAGTTGCGGGGGGCGGCCCTGGTTCCCAAACCCTTCAGTTTCCCCTGCCCTTGTGTGTCTCTCCTTTTCGTGTGTGTATGTGCACACGTGTGCACTGTCCACCTTGGTGTGTGCACGTGTGTACATGTGTGCACCTGTATGTACGTGTGCACATACACTATCCATCTGCATATGTGTTTGTACGCATGTGCCTGTGCCACCTGCATACGTGTGCATTTGTCCACATGTGCGTCTTTGTGTCTGTGTGTTTGTACATGTGTGTGCATCTGTGTGTGTGCACCTGCATACACGTGCACACTCACGGAAGCCCTGTGCTCGGCCATGCATCCCGACGGTGCTGCGCTGCCCCGGCCCCCCCATGAAATGGCCCTGGAGCCCCCAGGGGTGTGGGCAGATGTGGCCTGAGCCGCTCCTGGGGGCTCAGGAAGAGAAGCAGGACCCTGGCGGGGAGGTTGGGGTGGCCTGATCCCCTCCCCAAGTGAGTCGGGGGTGGCGTCTTGGAGAGTAGACCCCGGCCCAGTGCAGCCACCTCTGGGGGTGCCATGGTCCAGGCACTGATACTGCCAGCTGGTGGGGACAGGGCCAGGGGGCAGGGGCAGGGGCAGGGCCTGGGGCAGTGCAGGGCCTGGGCAGGGCCCAGTGGG